TGTGAATTTTTAGCTCCACTTAAATTAGAAAAAGCAATTTACTCTGACAAGGCACAGAACATAAGGCACCAAACCTGGCTTCACAGTTATTGTAAGGCTGGATAGTCAGCTGTGGGAAGGAGATATCCAGCTGGCAAATCCATAACGCTGGCGGTGAGTGGCTGTGCCCAGCAGTTGGGTCTGGTACGCACCCCTACCTCGCTGGCGGTGGAACGTCAGAAGGGAGGTCTCTGATTTGAGCCTTAATACAGTTATTAGCAGCCCAATAGTTTCTAGAGGTCTCAGGAGAGAGAGTGAAGGCCAATGCTGCTCAGACCCTAACGTAGTCTTGATTTTAGCTAGTATTAATTTTGCACCAGGATTTCTCTTCAATAAGCTTTGCGCGCAGAGAGTGAGAAATCTCACTTGCAGGTGCAAGTCTCACTACACAGACAGTTAGGCTTCTGACTGCTGCTATTTGTGTGAGCAAATTTATTAAGGGTAAGAGAAGAAAGAAGGATGTATTTTGAGCACGTCAAGTCCTGCTTCCCTATTTAGAAACAGGCTATTTAAAAACAAATAAACAAACAAAAACTGGAACTGGACATCATATTCTTTGATCTCTCTAACAAAAAAACAAGTCTGGAAATTTGTTAGCCCAGTGCAGCAATAGCTTTTCTTTTAAAACAGGCCTTTTCCTTTTTTTTTCCTCCCCTCCCTCCTTAACAGTCACACAGCTTTGTGAGACTATACTCACAATTAATCTAACAGGACAATTGGTAGAAATCATGTTATGCATTGTCTCGCAGAAGTGACTTCTCTAATTTTGCATTTATTATTTTTGTGAGTGAAATAACTGCCTTGTATTTCTTCCCCCAAATAAAATATTTATTAGTTAATATCATGCTGCACAAATTAATGCTGTTTTATTTCTTTCTGGGCATCCTCCTTTTTTTTCAGCATTAATGCTTAAACTCACAGCAAACACTCTCAGTAGTTTGCATGTCTCATTTGGAGAAATACGTGCCTTTGGGCAAAAGACATGAAAGCCCAGGAGCTACACAAAAGACTGAGTTTATGGGAAGTCTTTGTTTTAAGCCAGCACTAAATGGGGAACTGTACTGATAGCTGCTGTCCTTCAGGTGGGACAGGAAAAATCCCACCTCTGTTGGATCTTCAAATCTTGCAGAAAATATCCCAGGAGACTTCCCTGACAAAATGAAACTACCTGTTACCGCAGCTTAGTTGCAATTTTATGATCTTGTCTTGAGTAAATACCAGGTTGTCTTGGCGCGTTCCCAGGAGCAGGACAAGGAGACAAGAATTCCTTCCCTGCTTAGTTGTGGGTTAGAAAAATAACCTGAGCTGCCTGTCAGAAGGATCTTGGGATCAAACTGTTGTCCTCCAAACCCAATGTCACTAACTAATCACTTGCTGCCGGTAATGTATCATGACTATGCGCTTGGGTATTTTTTTATTCCTGGCTTTCTCTGTCCTCCTGCTGTTTATCTATGAGGAGCTTCAGCCAAGCTAACCAAAGCCCTGGTGTTTTGGGGATTAATTCCCAGAAAAAGCTCAGAGAGGAACTATCAGCCGGGAGCTGATTAAATGCATCTGAGCTCAGCCCCGTGATACTCGCGGTTGGGTGAGAAAGGCAGCAGGCTTTGCTGCAGTCAGGCTGAGAAGAGGGACGCTGGCCAAAAAGTACAGCCACGCTTGATCTTTTAAGTGGTGTTTTTTGCTACTTTAGCCTTTGTCCAGCTGCAAGGCGTGAAAGGCAGCCACAGGCTGTTGTTAATAGGTCACAATTTGGCTCTAACTTTAAATCCTTTTAGTGAAATCCCACAGGAGGTTGGTGATTTTGTAATCTGACCTGAGCCTCTGGGAACTTTTCTCTGCTCTCATTCCACCCATATGCAATGAATGCATCTTCATTAGTCTGTGCGCGTATAGATGTTGTATCCAATGTTTCTAAGTGCTGGCAGGAATGGAAAATATTTAGCAAGAGGAATCTTACTTCTCTCTTTGCTTACGGTTTGTTCTTGAACAGTCAAACATATCTTTCAATAAAAATAACTAATGTGTTTATTTTAACCAGAGCTGGCTAAGTAATTTGCATTTAAGAAATTACTCTATTCATCATTTTTAGATCAGGCACAAATTGTGATTTTCTTATTTTTACTTACTGTTCAAAAAGATTTACTGAATATTTTTTATGAATGAATTTGTTGGCAATTCATCCCCAAACAGTTCAGTGTGAATACTAATTTAAACAGTTGATTCTAATAGATTCCAATGTCCAAATATCTTTGATGACTTTGAAAATCTTGAGCTAATTAGTCAAAATCTGAGCTGTTTTTTCTTTTTCAACAGGCAAGTTGCCATCTTGCCAGACAACAGCAACTTCAGGGTTGTTTTTCTGTGTTGTCTTGCTATTATAAATTGGAGCTGTATTCTTTTGCAGTATTGTGTATTATTCAGTGGTTCCACAAAAGTTAGTAGGAAATATATCAGAATTTGTAATGGGACTAGGTTTTTATCCACTGTTCAGCAAATGCACAAGTCATGCAATTCCCTCACTAGTGTGCTGGAGGAAAGGGAACAATGGGGCACCAACACAGTCAGAGCTTTAGGATTAAAATATCAAGAGTAAATACTCAGATAAAATATTTGGCAATATCACCCATCTCTAATTTGCACATTTTAAAGGTTGATCTCTCACGTCCCCTCAAGTTCTTTGTTCACATGAGTCCCTGGATAAAGTGCATGGAAAGTCAGAGGATATCTTATGTCATCACTATTTGTGTTAATGGCTTAGGAAACCCACAATCCAATCAGTTAAAATAAACAACCCAGTGTAATAGGAGAATAAATCAATGAAGACTTCATTACTGAAACCTTAATGTGTAATCCATCCACCTACAGAGGAAAGGGATACTGAGAGGCAGCAAGACAAAACCAGAGGACAGTCTGATTGAGACAACCCTGATATTTAAAAAGGTGCTGAGAACAGTAACTCTTCCTGGAGTCAGTAAATTTCATGGATACTCATCACTGCTGACAGCCTGCCCCGGACTATTAAGTCCCTGCACTGAAAAAAATGCCAAGAAACTCTTGGGAAGAGAGCTCCGATTGCTCTTTGTTTGCTCTGGGAGACTCGAGACAGCTCAGGGCTGTGGACTAATGAAAAAAGACATGAATTAGCAAGATTAACACGTGACTAAAACTATACATGTTACCCAGAAGTATTCAGAACTGCTCTGACCCTGTTGCAGACTTCCCTCTCTGTGTGGCCCCTTGAGGCAGTAACATGAATTTGGACCCCTTCTCTAAGGTGAGGGTGGCAATACTTGGTGAACTGAGAGTTACTGGATTTCATTAAAGCCACATATTCTGTTTGTCTTGGCTCTGAAAGGAGCTGTAATCCTATCGTATTGAGCCTTTAGATTTCAACACAGTTCATAAAAGGGCTGAACTTTTATGTTCAGTGCAGAGATCTCTGCTTGTTGAGTTAATGTAGTAATGAATAGAAACAGCAGGCTCTCGCTCTGGGCTTGGGCCAGCTCTGAGACAGGGATGAGACAGGCTCTTTTCCTGTGGATTTTAGCTAACAACAAAAGTAAGGTGAGTCTTTAGAAAGGCGGCAGTGCTCACAGACCCTCCTCCCCTGAGTCCCCCATTTTAGAAGTGATTCTCTGCCTGTCTGCTCCAATCTCTCATCCTCACCTGACTCCTCTTTCTTCCTTCCCTCCCCCTGATCACATCTTGTTCTTTTGTTTCATCCCCTGCTGATACTCTTGTCCCTGTTGCTCACTCATGCCAGCATGAAATGTGTATTGAGCAGCTAAAGTTTGATAGCACTGGTAATTGACCCAAACCGGTATGACTGGAATTCTGGTTCTCAGAGATTTTAAGTTTGTTCGTATTAGTAATTATGACTGAAAAAGGAAATCTAGGAGCACATAATGGTAAGGATACAGAAGTTAGGAAACATGAGCACTAATATAGATACTGCATGCAGAAGATGGCACAGATAATTTACCAATACAGAAGGAGATTTGGTGGAAGGGAGCTACTGAGCATCCTACAGAGCTGGAAACCTGTTTCTCCAAGCTGAGAGTCACCTGTTCTGACTGTGAAGACCGACCATTTTCCTGCTTCATTTCCACATCTCACTCAATGCATACCCTCTCCAGCTATAACAAAGGAGGCAGAGGTATGATGTGCAGCTCCCTAATTAGCTACACAATCCTCAGCACCACGTCAGCTTGTGCTGTGATTTTAGCAGGGATCCACTGGAAAAAAAATATGTCCATTTCCATTAATAGTCATTATTAGTGAATTATTAGATTTCCGTAATATTCCTTCTAGTACTTCTTTTTGCTAGGTGTTACTTCTCAGTTCCTCATCTGAACTATTCAGTTGCATAATGTTAAATACATCAGGGAATGATTAAGTCAATTTGCTTAGTAAAATCGCTAGTAAAATGCTCCCATATATCCATATATGTGGTCCTTACTTGGTCTTGATAAAAAAATAAGTTTAGGGCATCCTTCTGCTCCCCAAATTCCAGGTTTCCAAGTGGCTGCAAAGCTACAAAGACAGGGGAGTTTTCTTGTAAATGAGATTAATATATTCTTCTTCAAATGCCAGTAATAAGGGTCACTGTCATGGAAAAACACTCCACATGTAACATATCTGTATGATACCGCATTTCCTCAATTTGAGGTAGCCAGACCAAACAAAAAAAAGAGAGATGTAGTTTAGAATTTAGATGTAAATTCTGCAGAAATCTTACTGTGTGCTAAATATTGTGTAGTATGATCAGTATGCCTGTCAGAGGCTTTTAAAATGTACTATCAATATGGTTCCACATATTCCCTGTCCAGATGGTACAAAAAGTACTCAGTATCCAAACAAGGATCTCAGTGCCTCTCCACTGCATGATGCACTGCAGCCCTGTGTAGCATGAACTTCACTGGTTTGGATTGATCCCTAAATTTGGTGTATTTCCATTTCAGAGCTCCCGTGACAAGGATGTCATCCTGAATATTCTCAGTGTCCTCACTGACTTGCTCTCTCTGGGTAAGGAAGAAAAGTTCTGGGGCAGAAAGGGGACCTTCACATAATTCCATGAATTCATACCTGCAGAGAATTGGTCAGGTGTTTGCAAGGTGAACAAAACATGAATCTATAGATCAGTAGTCCTTACTCCTGTGTTTGGAAAACTGAAGTTTTTCAGAAAGCTAAAAAAAAAATAAAAAGACTAAGAGAAAGTCTCCTTTTTTTTTTAAGTTTAAAAGATGTCCATGAGTTTCAAAGTTTTTCATAGTCCCTGGCAGTCAACCACCTGAAATGTTCACCAACGCCATTGAAGAGAGAGAAGCGAGACAGGGAGAGGAGCCTGACTGCCCCGAGCACAGGGACTCTAATGGAGACTGTTCAGCGTCTCCCCAGGAGGCACGGCCACCTCAGGGCTGCAGAGGAGGCCTATTGCTGCATGAGAAAAAATGAGTTGGCAAAAGAACTGAAAAAGTAATTAAGTTTCTTTTCCTTCCTGCTCCACCTCAAGAAAGTAATTTTTGGCTCCCCAATTCAAGAGAGACAGAGACCTACTGGAGAGCATCCAACAGAGAGACTGAGAGAACTGGGCCTGTTTAGCCTTCAAAGGAGATGGCTGAGAAGGGGACCTTATTAATGTATAGAGGAACTTTACTGTGAGGGTGACAGAGCCCTGGCACAGGCTGCCCAGAGAGGGTGTGGAGTCTCCTTCCCTGGAGACTTTCAAACCCCACCTGGACGTGTTCCTGTGTGGCTGCCCTGGGGGATCCTGCTCTGGCAGGGGGTGGGACTAGATGATCTCTAGAGGTCCCTTCCAGCCCCCGACATTCTATGATTCCATGATTCTCGACCCAACTGAGCTGCTGAGCTGCGGGGCCTGCATCACTGAGTGCTGGAGCCTCCTGCCTTCCCCACTCCTTGGAGGACCACCACAGACATTGTGTGTCCAGCTGGGCCTCTCTTTTGAAGCCCTGCAGTGCTGTTCCTCAGCTAGATGGAAGGATTGCCTACATGGAGGACAGGAGGTCCTGCCTCCTCTCCAGGAGCTGAATGTGTGGCTTTCTCCAACTGTGGAGCCTAAAGTTGCTGTTGAAGTCAGCCATGGATCAATGTTTGTTGACATAGTAGGGCTTACAGGATTAGATTGTGGTTTTTTGGAGATCTAGATTTGTTTGAAAGCTATCTTCAAATGTTCCCTAGGATTCCTTTTCATTTGGCAGAAGCTCATTGCTTGTTTAATTTTCAGTACCTAAGGAAAGATTACTGAGCCTTCTGCTCCTTTGAAACCTATTGGTGTCGCTGCTTATCCCTCTCTGCTGCATTTCAATGCACGATGAAAAGCTTCTGCAGGACATGGGTTTGTAGCAGAGCACATAGTTTGACCATGCAGCCATTACCTATCTCTCTAGGCCAAGGGCACCTGAGATCCATAGTTAATTCTGTGAATGCCCTTTTGTTTATAGCAAAAAAAAAAAGAAAAGTAGAAAGCCACGGAAACTTTGCATGCTCCGTGTAGGGTGTGGGAAGGGATTCTTTGAGCAGTGTCTCCTCATTTTTTCAGGGACTGGACGGAGAATCCACTATGTGATCAGCAAAGGGGGCAGTGAGGCACTACTGCAGGCTCTTGCTGCTGCAGCCCGGACTGAGCCACCCGACAACAGCATCCTCTTGCCCCTGCTTCGACTGCTGGCCAGGGTTGGCCAACGAGGTATTGCTGAGGGGTGGAGGACTTCTTTGAGTGGGAACAAACTTTTTAGCAGGGTCTGTTGTGATAGGCCAACGGGTAATGTTTTTAAATTAAAAGAGGGTAGATTCAGACTAGACACAAGGAAGAAATTTTTTATAACGAGTGTGGTGAAACACTGGAACAGGTTGCCCATATTGGCAGTGGATGTCCCATCCCTGAAAACATTCAAGGTCAGGTTGGACAGGGCTCTGAGCAACCTGATCTAGTTGAAGATATCCCCATTTACTGCAGGGATGGTGAACTTTTAAAGGTGCCTTCTGACTCAATCTATTCTATGATTTGTATGTGGTGACTGGGTAAATCCTTGTTTTCAGTGAGAATAATGCTGATCTAACTCATTGATATATTTGAATATCTTTGTTATGATACTTTGAGTTATAAGAGATGGTGCAAACATGTTCATCAGCACTGCTTTAGCGACCTAGTCTTTGTAATAGTTTGATCCTTATTTGCTTTTCACAGATAGGAAGTTTGGGCTGAAAGTGCAGAAGGCAGAAGTGACTGATGTAATACTGAGCTTAGCAAGAAGAAGCCTGGGCCACCACCTGCACCTCACCCACTGCCTCTGGGTCCTGCGAGTTTGTGCTTCTAATGGTGAGTGCCTGGATTTTCCTCTTTTGCTCTGCGTAACAACTGCCAGAGTTCTTTTTTAGTCATTCTAGTACAAAGAAACATCATTCCTGATGAAGGTTAGTGTCTGCATGCACTGCTAATATATAGAATCAGACATCAAAGCCAGAACAACCCTAGGAAGAGGTGCTCCCCAAGGGTCCTATACACCCTTTACAGTGTATTTCACCTGTGGGCTATGAAAATAAAAGTGCTGTAGTGAAAAATATTCATGGAAATAACCTCCTATTCTGGAAGATAGATAGTCAACTCCTTTACTCTGAAACTTAGGCACCTTGAGTCTCTATGCACTTCCCATCACCATAATAGCCAAATGTCTCACTGTTGTTGATTATATTGATCCTCAGTGCAGCTCCATGAGGAAGGAAATTAGGGTGGAGAAACAGAGGCAGAGAGAAATCAGTTTCTCATCCAAGGTCCCTCACGAAGTACGTATCAGATCATCAGATCCTGGTCCTAGTAACTCCTCTCATGCACTCTCCCAGCTTTTTTTTTTTTTTTTGCTTGGCAATGCCCTCATCTTAAATGATTCGAGCAATTGGATCTTCAGTATTCTCTCCCAGGATCATTACAGATTCATAGAGGCTTTCCCTGCTGCAGAGCGCTGGGTTAGTCAGAATAAATTTCCCTTTACTCACTCTAACCCTTCCCTCTCCTTCCCCACATCCCTCACCCAGCAGATAATTCCTGACAGCCATCCTGTCTGCAGTCTGCTCTGTGCATCCTAAGATTTAACACTCCTGGCACCCAGCCCTGCAGGTCCCTTCCATCTGTACAGGAGCTAGCCTCATGCAATGGGCTTTCTCAGGCAAGCAGCCAAGCCTCAACACTCAACCCCTCTCCCTGAGATACGCAGCATTTGAAAGGCTGAGTGTGACTGAAAATGCAGCCAAGGCCAGAAGCTGAAACGTGCCTTTATTTGGGTTTCACAGCTGTGTAGTGACCCTGCGCTGCCTCCCACCCTAAATGATGATCTGCACACTTCTCTGCTCCTTGCTTCAGTGCACCTGCATCCCAATTCAGCTGCAGTTTTTGCAGAGGTTTTAAGAGGCATGCTGCAACCTGGCCTCCTTTCTGTTAATGTCACACCCCAGAAACCCACCTCTGCTCCTTTGCTGGAGCATCTCTGTTACTCTCCAGCACTCTCCAGATGTTCTACCCCCTTCCAGGAGTAATACTGAGTCTGTGGGCTCTGTGGCCCAGCTGGGAAGCTGCAGGAGAGGTTAGGTGAAAGTCTGTATGGATAGGCTACCAAACTAGAAGATTATACGCTCTCAACCTTAAAAATTATTTTTATGGAGTGGAACTAAAGAGGATCTAGAAGCATATAAAACTCTGAGAGTGCTTAAGTATGAAAGCAGAAAAGGTGAGTCCTTGTCACAACCCCGTGCACCAGTTCTTTGCTCTGGGCTGCTCCCTTCACAATTCCTACCACCAGTTGTCCATGGCAGCCTGCATCCTGCTCTGAGGGAGGATGAGTTCAAGCAGCCTCGTCCACCGCCCTGTCTCTAATGAATTACCCAGCTAGTGTGAAAGTAACTGGCAAGCATTACAAAGCTTTCCATCACAGGACAACTTGGCGGGGACATGGCAGGACTGCAGGAGATGATGGGCCCTCTGGCAGCTTTCTAATGACCGCTGGGAGATATTTACAAAACAGCCAAAACCTAGCGGTGGGCAGGCAGCCAGGTCTCCCTCTAGCTGCTGTTGATTACTGATCCTTTCACCCTGTTCACTTGCATTTAATATTTCATGGCTGTATTCATCTCTACTTTAAACAGAGATCCTGTCTCATAGCAGAGAGGTCTGGCTAAACAGCTAGTTTATGCATCGAGCAATTTTGAAATCGATGGTAAAAATCTATCTATAAAAGTTCCTAGTGTGTTAGCAAGTGGAGGATTAAAGGTAAAATTGGCTTAGCTGAAATCAAGCTGCATTCACAAGCACTGAGGTCCCCCAAAACTGCTTCCATACTGCTGAATAACAGCACAGAAAGAAAACTCTGCCCTCCACGCCCCTGTGAAATAAATTGTCCTCATGGAGTTGCCTATGGGAAATGTGGGATGAATTTGAACCCTGTTATTTTGCTGGGAGATGACCCTATTTAACTACGATTTGTTCTCTGGAGACTACAATATTGACACAACGAGGGGCTTTGGGGAACTCGAGGAAGAACTGCAGGACTGTTTTTGCATCTGATCTTGGCTCAGGTTGGGTCCACAGGCAGTTTTGTGCTTCAGTTTCCATGTTTGTTAAATGACCTGTGAAACCCAGTTAGGAGCTCAGAGAAATCTGCTCACAGCCCCAGCATCAGCTACTCCCTACCCCACATCAACTATAGACACAATATTGCAGACTGCCTGCTTCAGATCTGACTGCTTTTCTCTATTATTGGCTTAGTTACCACAGGAACTACACTTGGCATCAATGGAGCCATGGAGCTGCTTTTCAAAGTCATCACCCCCTACAGCAAGCGACACGTCAGGACAGTAAGGTAGGCAGTAGCCCCAAGGGAACTCATCTTTCGAGGACAGCAAGAAATAAAATTTTGGTTCCACTTCAAGAGGCAAAGAAATCAGAAATGCGTGCACAGTTTCCACTCACTTCAAATCTGCAGGTTTTTTTAAGAGGCAGAAATAGCTCCCTGAAGGAGACATTAATGCCATGATTCATCATATGATTCATGCTGCTGGACATTTATTTGTAGTGTAGCCTATATGGTGATGGCATTTTGATTGCAAGGTATTGTCCTTCATTTCCCAGTCAGGACTGGATTTTAGGAAGCATGTGCTGGCAGCAGACAAACTGCTCCTGCCTACCCCTTAGCAAAAACCTCCTGCCACCACAGGCAGGTATTGTGGAGTCGTGGTAGTGCTGCCTCATCTTCCTTTTGCAGACAGATGCGACTGGGTCATCATGATATTTTTAAGCATGACAGTTCTTTCTAGTGTTAATCTGGATCTGTTTCAAGCCCATCCCAAATATTTCAGATAGTTTTTTCTTGAAGACAGCAAGTCCATTTTATGTCTCCATCTTACCGCTGGACATTAGTCCCCAAGATGTCCATTCTGATCAGATGCCTTTCAAGGCAAACTTTGTAATGTGGAAAAGATCCACAGGACGTAACACATTTCTGTGGCTTGTTCCTTACAAACAGAAGGAAGAATTTACTGCTATGACCTGCACGCACACAATTGCATTTGCTTAAGCAACACAAAACCTGCCAGTTCTCCTGCTTAGACGTGCGATGTCTTGTGGAGCACATAGTCTCTACATTTTCATGCATGTCTGGGCGAGGACATGGCAACATTTGGTCAGCTTTGGCTTCTACGTGGCCCTGACATGGGTGAAGTTCATGGCTGGTCATTACTGAGGCAGTAGCTTTAGGCTGAGCATCGCCCGCGGGTGAGAAGTGGATGGACAGACACGGCACAACAGTTTGACCACTGCTTGCTTAGCTGTGGTTGCAGTGGGGGCCAGTCACTCTGGATGAGGGCACCAGTAAATAACATCCATCCTGCTGTTAGCATCAAAGACTGATAGCAGTTCTCCCATTACTGCCAGTTACACAATACATTGCATGGAAAAGAATTTGAATTAATTTCCACTAGCCACAGGTGATGAACTTGCACAGGAACACAGGGAATTTTGTGCAACGCTTCTTGTCCTTTTGCTGTTTCTTCTGAGGGAAGTGGAAAATTTGGTATCTGTCATACCTTTCTAGCCTGGCTTTTTGCTGAGATTCATTTAGAGATGCAGCTAGTGCTGCTGAGGGTTCCTGAAATGTAGGCTGTAAAGTGGTCTAGAAAACTCACTTCTAAGCAGAATGGAAAAGAAATGGCCTTCACAGAAACACACTACTTTTGATTTCAATGATTCCAGATTGTCAAGGTGAAGTATTTGAGTTTTTTTTTTCCTTTTATCTGATGTATGAGAATTATTTTCGGTAGACCTTTTTTTTCTTTTTCTATTTGGGACTCACACACACACACGCCAGAAAATGCAAACTCAAAATTTCCCTCAATAAAACTGCCGTTTTATTGCTAATAAGCTATTTCATTTATTGCTGAAAAGCTTGGATTTATCTTCCTTTTGAAAAAAAGTATCTAAGACGTTAATTATCGTCTAGCTGAGCTTTCTCATTGCTAGTTCAGTTTCCTAATTTCCTTTCTTTCCTAAAATATTTGTGCTCTTCTTAGAACATATTTGTATGAATGTTCAAAGGGAGGATAAAATCTTCAGCGCAACCTAGCTCACAAAAAAGGTAATTTGGTTCTCATCCACACTTGGTTTAAAGAACAAGAACCATAAATCAGCTGAAGCCCAGTAGCAACTCAGCTGGCTTGCCTAGGGCTCAAAGCTGCTTGTTTCGTTTAATAACTAGGAGCAGCTGAGAAGGTCATCGATGGTTCCGTGGAGACAGTCTGTTTTACATCAGAAGCAGCACGCAAACCTGTTTTGTTTTTAAAAAAATGCTTGCAACCTATTTAAAGGCACTAAATCCACATTTTTTTCAGTTGGAACTGTGCTTCCTTGCAGTCTGTTTGGAAGAAGTGCTCTTCCTGGGGAAAGTGGCTTCAAGAGATGTTGACTGTAAAAATTCATGTCCTAAGTCTAGACCGTAGGGTGGGTTACAGATCTTCTTTCCCAGCATAAGTGAATGTTTTGGATAGCTGTGGTCTGAAAATCCCAGGCATCTTTGCAGTTCATCAGAAAATGGGGGTGGGTGCATGTGAAAATGTCCTTCTATTATTTGAGCTGCTCTAGTTAAATGTTTGCAGGGTGACTGTGGGAGAAAGCTTATAGATGGGTTTTCTGAGGTGGGGAGAAAGAATAACAAGTAGTCATGTGCTTTGTCTAGTTCAGCATGTGCTCCCAGTCATCTGACACTGGTGTAGCTCTTCCCAAAGTTGTTTTGGCTATGTTGAAATCTGGAGTGGGTTATTTTGGTGTAATTAGTTGGTCACAAAAACACGTGCTTCTTTTTGGCTCTCATCATGGAACTTGAAGAGAACACTAATCTGTAACTGGCCTTTGAGGGAAAACTCCAATGTCCTCCCAGCAAGCCTCTGATCCTCCTTTTGTGTTTGCTCTTGATACCTTCTCTCCACCTCATAACTATGTGCCACCAGGATTTGCCTTGCTGCTGGGAAGGAACAGCCGGCAACTGTGGGGGCTGAGATTACCCTTGCTCTTTGATCAGTTGCCAGGAATGCAGGATTGAAAATGCACCACTTCTCTTGTGGATACACCCGCATTCTCCTGTCCTGGGCAGCAGCAGAACCAAGGTCACTTTAAGAATCTGCCCTGGAGAGTGCACTTATGAGAGCTATTTATTTAGCCAGCTAAGATGGGGAAACAAGATCCATAGTTCTATTTATTTTTCCCAGTGGCAAAGCCCTGGGTTATTCAGAAATAGTCTCCCATGCTCCAATTGACCTTCTCTGGGTGCATGCCAAGTAGCTCTGATTCCCCTGAGACTGTGACTCATGGACTTTATCAGTCTTAGTTAGGCATTTGAGGTCTTCAGGTTGCTGGTGCCATAACTGTGTGGATCTCTCCAGGACAACCCATATCTGAAGTAAAAGCCACATGAAAAAACCTGCAACTAGCTGAGATTTAGAGAACTCTTGAGTTAAGCATTGTGACATCCAAGTGAGATGGAGACTCTAGACTGTCTTGCCCATCTTTCATGATGCTGTGATGCAGAGAAAGCTTTCTGATACCTTTTATAGGGGCAGTTTAAAATATAGGCAGAGGATGTTCTGTTTTTCTCTGTTCTGTTTATGCCAATAGCTGGGATATCTGATAGGAGTGTGTGTGGGACGCTCTAATCTTCACTCCATCAACACCTTCTCTAATGCAACATCCCTGGTGCCTTACTCAGTGCAGTGGTCCTTGCTCCTTTCACCTTCCACCTTATTCCCCATATGTTCCATATCTTCTACCTTTCTGTTTCCCAGTGTTTCTTCCAACACCCTTGCTCATTTTCACAACTTACTTGTTCTGAGAGGTATTTGGGTGTGTTGTGGGCAGCTGGATGTAGAATGTGAGAGTGGCAGATGTTTGCTTTCTGGCCAATGGGGAGCTGGGTCTCTTGTGTGTGACTCTGTCTTGAGGTCACCAAGCATCAGATATCCTCCCCACACTGCTGGCATGTCAGGCCAATGGCTTTGGAGGCTGTACGTTGTCTGTGGCTACATGTTGTGCAGTCCTCTTCTAGGACTCCTCAAGTTGAATGTAGACTATCCAAATGAGTCTAAACAAATAAATAAATAGTAATTAAAAAACCCACCGAGAAAACCTCCGAATTGGAACTTAGTATTCTCTCATATGAGGAAGACCTGTGTTTTAGAAAATGGCAAAATACGGTGTCTCTTCTGTCTGGGTCATTTCACCTACTACATTATTTTTTCTGTGGTTAAAAAGTTGTCAGGCAGTCTTATTTCTGCAGTTTTATTAAAAGCAGTTTTGAAAGTCTTTAAAAATGTCTTTGTCTCTCAAAGATCTTTGAGTACAACTATTTACCATGCTGAGCAGAGCTGGCTAATAGTGTTTGAATAAGCCTCGTATGAGAGATTGCCACAAGAATGGGTATTCATCAGAATTAAAAGCTATCTTTCTGTGAATATTCACAAAACTTGGCTTTCTGCACTGGGCTGTTCCAGTAAAGTTTGACTACTTAATTAAAAGTGGAAAGCGAATAAAAATGGTCTGGGAGTGGTGCCAAATTAATTCAGTAGAAAATGCGATATGCAGAAATTACTTGCCTTTGCTCATGCCCAGTGCTGCCCATTCTGACACTTGATCACAATTCTTCCTGTGTTTGCTGCTTATTGGGTGGTCCCAGCTCCTCAAAAGTTTGCTGATAATCTCCTTTTCCATTACAGGGAGGAAATCCTTTCATGTTAACTCTCTTTCATCTGAGGTGGATATCTGGCCTTTTTACATACATGGAGGGGGAAGCATGTTCTCTTCACCTGTGTTAAATGTTCGCCTCTAGAAACTGGAGGTGGCTTGGAAGTGTTTACTTCTCTCTGAGGATGAGTCTGGAGCGGATAATGTGGAAGCAGCATGATGGGCATTTAAGGCTGGATCAGGTAGATGGTTGCTGACAGAGACGTGGAAAATGAAGTGTCAGGGCTCAAACCCCAGGAGGAAATGAGACCACCACATATGTCTTTTCTCTGGTGATGTGTGCTCAGGGGTGATTTGAGGTGGGGAGTGACCCATGAATCTGACACATGGAAGAATAATGATGACACTGTTTCTGTGGTCAGTAAGCGATCCCTGTGTCACGTACTTCTGTCACAATGTGAGCTGAGAGTTCACATTTGTTTTTACTCATTAATGTCTTTGGGTTTTTTTAATTGTGGTTGGGGTTTCGTTTGTTGGGGTTTTTTTGTTGTTTTGGTTTTTTTAAGTGGAGTACTGAAAGCAGAGCTTTCTTAAGTGAAGAGAGGAATGTGAAGGTGATTAAGAGAATATATCTAAACCTAAAAGCCTGAACCTGACAGGTCCATCTTTAACTAGACATTGTGTTAGATTGACCAAGGAGAATATGAAGGCCATGAAAATGCTGAAGAGTTAAGAGACTGTATGTAGCTTGAAAATAGGCTTTTAATATACAAATATATGTATTACTCTTTTCTATAAAACCTGTTTTGGTCACGTGTAACTGAGATTCTGTTTTTTTTCATCTTGGAACTGGTGCTTTTGATGCAAGATAAAATGTAAGTGTTGAGCCCATAGTCTTGAAAAGTGATCAAGCTGCCACATCAACAAATGCTTGTAAAAGTGATCTCCTGTGACCTTAACAACAGAAGAAATGAGAATGGCAGTGCTTGTGATTGTTTCAGACAAAAAGAGGGGAGACATTAGCAGGGTTGACCTGAATACTAGAATGATGGAGAGGCACATGGAAGAGATCCAATTGCAAATGTGTCCTAAACCCAGTGCAGGCAGTTGCAGTTTCCTCAGCCTTAATCCTGGATAACTTCTTGCTGGCAAGACCACCATATACATCTACTGCAATTCCATCTCCAGGATTGTCCTGAACTTTCAGCTGCTCTCTGCTTGAACAGAAGAACATGTTGCACAGACATTGCCAGTCAATATTTTGAGAATGAGAAGAAACTTACTGCAACAACATGGTGATTAGTTTCTCTGCCACCCAATATGGTAGCTGTTGTGATTGGCTCTGTTTGAGGAATGCTCCGCATACAGTTTTATGCCTTTGTTTATTTGGCAGTGGTTCCTGATAGGAAATCAAAAGCAAATAATCCTTAATTCCTCATTTAGTCTGTGTTTTGCCATTAATTGTGTTGAGCAGTTTGGATATTTGATTGGAAAGTAGCGCACAATTCTACTGAAATGTGGTCAGAATTAATCAATGCTTAATGCCTGCTTATTCTCAAATTGCTTTTTGGTTCATTTGATCTCTGCAGAAAATTTGTAGGAAAGGCTGAAATATTTCTTTTGAGCTATGTCACAACTAAATGACATGCTTCCCATCTGGCTTTGATCTACGTCAGTTTTAGCCTAGAACTTCCACTAAATAAAACCAGTGAATACTGTTCTGAATGAGAAGATGCCAGCAACAAGGGAAAGGAGATGTCTTTAAAAGCCTTGTTTATATCAAATGTCTCTTCAACTTGATTAATATCTCCGATAACATGGAGCAGAGATGGGTACATCACTGAGATGAGTAAATAAACCTAGTGTTAAAATTTAATGCAATGAGCCATTGCAATAGAAGAAATGATCTTGGAGCTAAAGGTGTCCCAGTTTTATGCAGTTCCTTCTACACGGTTCTTTTTATGGTCTGTGTAGTTTCTCTCAAAGAATGACCTGTTCTAATATTAATAATACGTTATAAAATCTCATTTCAGAGTGAGTGCTGCTTTGCAGAGTAAATAGAATTGCATCACAGAATTATACTTTACTGGCATTGTACCATTAATAGCGGCAGATGAGAGAAATTGAAAAATTAAGAGGTAGAGGCAAGGGAGAAAGAGGTGCTTTCAGATGAGATTTGAAAATAGATGAAGAATTGATGAGGCAGGGAGGAATACCACACACCAAGGTTGTTCCAGATGGCCGGACAAAACGTGTTGCACACAGAACCCCTGGTGCCATCTCTTGGTAGCCTCTGGTATGGCAAGATGAAGCACAGATAAAGCACAGATACACCTACATGTGGCATAAAAAAAATGGGCGAACGAACACTGTATGAAGAGCAATCCACTTCTAAGCTGAATATGATATGTCACAGGAAGGGAGGTTTATAAACGGATCGACTTTATTTTGAAGGAGATGTTTGCTTTTTTTTTTTTCTTTTAGGTCTAGCTATTTCAGGTAGAAGGAACAATTTGGGAAAGAAGCAATATTTTCAGCTGAAGGGCTTTCTCTGCTTCTCCATTACTTCTTCCCCTTTGCTGAGCTAGTGGGTAATATTTGGAAAGATGGTGTGAGGGCAAGTCACTGCTGCTCTCAAGTTCTTGACTTTCCACACCCAGTGGCAATGGCAGATGCAGTTCATGGCTGACCTCACACGATGGCTCTGGTTATATCTATACCACAGGCGACGTTGTGCTCATTGGGTGGGAGACTCCCTCAGCCCTAGCTTTAATTTACCTCATTCTGCTAACAACTGTTAAGGCTTGCAGCAGGGCCTCCAGTGTGGACTACTCAAGCGTCTTAGGACATATTATCCAGTCTGGGAGTATTATTCATGTCGCTGTATCTGTCTCACTGTTGGTCTTTGTGCTAAATCGATTAAAGCTAACACTTGAGTACCTCACTGCATTGCAATCTCATTGCCTCTTAGAAGTTCTCTTTGAGGTGTATCTTCCACGTAGTTGGGGAAACCACTGTCACTCCCATGCAAATGGGAGGTAGGACTGGTTGCATCTCAGTGTTTCCAAGTGTTAAATGAATTGTTAATGTTAGCAAAGATTCCTTGTAGCTGAGTGTGACTGTCCCATAGGATATGACCGGTGTGTACTAGTTATGCCAAGCATTTTGTAAGTAGGACAGAAGGGAGAGAGAGAGAAATAAATGTATTTTTTAAAAAAAAAAGACCAAAAAAAAAAAAGACTGTAGCCAGAAGGATTGTAAAATATTTTGTAATCTAGGAAGAAATGAAGGGTTTGGTTTGACTTCTGGAAGTCAATGGATTATCTGGGAGATAAGGATAGGGCAAGATGCTCCTGACTTGGAGGTGCAGGATATTATGGTAGGTCTGTAAGAGTAAAGAAGGCAAAAAGTCTAACAGTAGTTGACATAAAATCTCTCCTGTCAGAAGTGCTATTCTGAGACGTGGTGCATTAAAGTGGGCAGGTCACCGGGGATCAGACTTTTCATATGGTCAATGCATACAGTTAAAATCATGCCTTTCTAACACCTTCCTAACGGGTAGTGAGGATATGGTCAGTTGTGTCTGAGGCATTCAGTGAGGACAGAAAGGGGAGTGGGAAATGAGAAAGAGGAGAGAAAAGCGCTAGTGAATTTGTGGAAGGTTTTATTCTCAGGCAGGATGCAGCTGAAGTGGAGTGAATGTGGAGCTGGCAGAGCGAGGATGGGGTTGAGCAATGTGGCTCTGTGGTCTTGTACGTGTGTTTGAGGTGGATGTTAAGTGCCAAATCTTTCAGAAAGCATCAGCCTTGGTACAGTCTTGGGGGACTGGTACTGGAGGGAAGATATTTCTAAGCAAAGCTTGTCTGAATTTGCTCATAGAGGTGATACAGGTGCCCACCCTGCCCATTTGTCTGCATCCATTTTCCTGTGCCAAGGAGACGATCCCCCACCTTGGAAAGTGAGTTGAGTAATGATGTAAATCTCTGATAGGGGCCAGAGAGTGAGCAGATAAAGCTGAGGGCACTCACTTTTGTGTCAGTGCATATGAGAGCCCAGGAATCTCCTCTCCTGTGCCTTTCAGTTGATTTACTGCCATTTCTCCTCTCCCCTAGAAGCCTGTTACCCTTATGAAGGGGGTAGAAAGCAGCTGTGAAATCCTTCCTACAAATGCATTCAGACCAAAGGGAGACAAGGGAAATTTTGATGGAAACTACTACAAAAGGAAGCCTTATTGCTGTAGCAGCTCAGCCCTAATTTTGTATAGTGCTGGTCCTGAGCAGGTGCTGTCCCACAAGGAAAACAACCTCAAGAATTTCATGGGGTTACTGTGGCTTTTTTTCCAGCTCCCTCAGTGCTGGTAGTGCTGGCAGGTGAAGTGTAAGCCAGTCTCTAGAACTATCAGTGAGTTTAAAGCACAACACTGATTAGACCTGCCCTGAGCAGAGTTATATGACACAGTGTCAAAGCCCTTAGCAACAGCCTTTCTACACCAGGATTCTCTGTCCTGATAGGACTGTTGGAGCCACACCAGCTGTAGCAGCAGCAGGGTGGCTGATTTCAGCAAAGGAGAGGCAACACAACTGACTCATTTCCAGTGGGCAGGACAGAGACTGAGAACTCCAAAATCTTCACAGTCTCTGTCAGGCTCTTTTGGGCAGTTATCGAACACTGATTATAGAGAAAAACCGAGAAATAGTGTAGCCCTAGAGAGTTTACCAAGCAAAGGTGGAATGAGTTTGGTTAGGGAGAGAAGGTTTTGTAACAGCAGTGCTGCCCATGCAGCAGAGATTTCTGGCTTGCTGACACTGGCAGGGCTCTTCTCAGTCCCTTTATCTGCAGGACAACACTTGGAATGGCAGCAATGCCAGTAAAATCTGTAAATAAACCCAGAGCTGAGCTGCTCTGGGATGTGTTCAGAGACAGGGTTTGGAATGTGGAAGGGAGAACCTGAAAACTTGAGGAAGTGGCTGGTGAGGAAGACCAGGGCTACTGACTCCCAGTATGGCTGCAGCCCTGGGGTTAGGAGTGGAAACTCCCCCTGAAGTGTGAAACTTGGAAAGGTCATGGCTCCATGACGAAGCTTTTGCTGTCAGGCTGCAGCAACACCCAGACTACTGCAGGACAGAAAAGAAAGTCATCCTGTATCTTTGGCACATCTACTCCACATGTTTCTTGCCTCTTCTGTGTTAAATGCACATAGTTTGGGCTTTGTGTGGACCATAGGACATACAACTCTGTCTACTCAAAAGTTTCACTTCTTCCTTTTTCATTGCTTTAAATCATACTTACATATTTGTGGTTATTTCAGCTTTCACCACCTTCCAGATTTTTCTGCGTAGAAAAAAAATAAGAGCACGTGTAAGAACCATTCTGATAACACTCATAACTTTTACTGTGCTCTTTAATTATCTATCCCTGTTGCTTCACTCTTATATTTACAGCTCAAGTTCTACCAGCCTAGGCTTTGATATGGTGTGCTTTCAAATCCCAGAGTTTGGTTTGATTATATCAGATGGAAGCTTTCCAATGAAAGGAGAGAGGAAAGAAAATATAGTCACTTTTTATTACTTGGGCTTCTGCAAATTACTGCTTCAAAAAGCCCCTGCAGTTATGCCAGTGTGACATTGCAGCTTTCAAAAAGCAAATATCAGGAGAAAATGACCCAGTATTTGCTGCACTTTTGGCTTATTACTTCTTTTTTTTTTTTTTCCTTCTTTCTAAATTCTTCTGCAAAATGTTGTGAAGAACAGGTACTAGCAACAAGATTTGACCAGATAATTGCTTAATAAGGAATTATACATAAGTAACTGAAAAAATAGTCTGTGGTTGGCTGGATCAGCCACAACAGCCAGCTGCTGGCTTTCAACCAGTCTTGCAAGCTCCATGATGGTGTAATGGCCTATGTTGCACTCGTGTCTAGCGGAAACTGCCTCGTCTCAAACCTCGTTCTTTGTAGATGTGGGGATAAAACCCAAGGCTGTGCTTTGCATGTCCCTGACAGCGCAGCCTTCCTGCTTATCCTCCCAAAGTTTTAATGCATCCTGCATGTTGCAGCTCAGTCACCAGCTGGGCAAAGTGCTGTGTGGAGGGCATGACAGGTGATCAAACAGAATACTATTTCTCTGACTCTTGGGTGTACTACTAAACTAAACACACTTCTTTCTCAGAACCCCGACCTGCCATTTCCATTGTCATCTTATTTAGCATTTCAAAGAACAACAATGAGCTATAATCTTCAGGTACTGTGGCTACAGAGAGCCTCATCTCTGAGCTGCAGGCTGTAGGTTGCTTTCCCTGCAGTAACGTGTTCTACTTCTGTCCTGCCTGAGCTGCAGAGATGAAGACAGGACAAGGACAAGTTTGCAGCAGGTGCTGGAGTGGTGGTGCCTCTGCTGCTTCTTGAGGCTGTGGTGCCTTGTAATGGTGGCTCAGCCTACTTGCACAAGCAGCTTTTGCAGAAGATGCACTCCTCTTTGCAACATCTATTCTCTTTAGTTGAACCTGACTGCATGTCCTCAGATGAATCTTTCTGCTGTGATAACAGCTTGGAGATCTGATGTCCAGAAAGCTGCTGCAGGGCAAGGTGAAAGATGTTCACTTTCCACACCTTGGCTCTTTTTCCTACGAAGATGTATCTCTGTGTTTACTACACAATACAGCAGGATCCCCACTTCCCTCTCCCACCTGTTAAGTGATACAGAAACAGAATGGCAGAGGGAGATGAATAGCGGAATGACTTTTTTTTTTTCTCCTAAACCTTTATTGAAAACCTAGGCAGGTTAATAAGCTTTCCTCCCTGCTCTGCAATTGCAACATCTATTTTCCCAGAGGCTTCTTGCTTACTGTACTTGCCTGCAGCAAAACTAGTCAGTACTCTTATGTTTCTAGCACTGTTCTACAGGTGATTTCTTTTTTCTTTTTTTTTTTTTTTGTCTTCTGTTTTGACAACACAGAGTGGGTAAAATTGGCGTTTCTTTTGCATACAAGACAGATCTGAAAATTTTCTTATAAGCTGGCTATGGGTATTGACTGAAGGAATTTGCATCAGTGAGGACTGAGTTTTCTGAATGAATGTTCAGACTTTAGGAGATATTTAGATGTGTAAAGATGAAAAGAAATGTAACCATAACATAAAGCCTCTTGGCAGGTTAAAGTTCTAACTCATACAGTTAAAAGATAGTTCTGACCTTGGTGTGCAAAGGGGCTTTGAAAAATCCTACTGAGTGCTAGCTGCATGTTTAGACATAAAAATGCCTTTTAAATTCAGGTCAAGATGCCTAATGTGAATCTGTAAGTGAATGCTACTCTTTCTCAAGCATATTTATGCATTGTTTTCAATTTGAGACTGATTTTAACAGTACCAATTGCCTCAATATTGTGTACACACATGGCTTACAAATGAATACCCCAGTATTTCCAGGCATGTTCATATCTGACAGCGTCAGTTGGGACCATCAGACTGTCAAATGCCCAACTCACAGTAAATTCAGTGCTGAAGGCCTAAGTATGTGTATGAGGGAACACAACCATCAGAAGAAATGAGAAGTGAGCATAGATGGAAAACAAGAGAAAATTGGTGACATCTTCTGAATATTTTCTTCTGTATATTTTGCTGGAATTCCACTTGCATGCCAGCTTTTCAGGCAGCTGTAGCTCTGACCCACCATCCTTTGGGATTTAGGTGAGAGCAATATATAGAAACTCTCTAACCTGTGCACACAACGGGAAATGATGGGAAGCACATGGAGACTGATAAATGCAAAGTGTTGCATGCAGGAAGATTAATTGGCTTTTTTTCTCCCCCACTGGTTACTTGATGCAAATGTGGATGTAACACTGTGCTGTCAGGCTGCTGCTGCTGTGTAAACACCTATTTATGCATTCAAACCGTGGCCCGAGTACTAGAGGCAGGCTGTAACTGGACACTGAACATCAGGCAGAACTGAGTAGATCTCCAGGGTTGTGTTATGACATTATTGCCAGTTAAAAACCACCCAAGTTGCATCTTGTCAGGCAGCACGGGGATAATGATTCCAGGAGCTATGCTTGCATGAAATGGCTTCTTGCTTTGGCATAGTCAAAAATTTTAACTCTGCAAGCAAGCTCTCTTACTGAGAGGTTTTAAGCCTTAAGTTTCCTTTGGAGGGACCTTATGGATGTGCTTCATCTGAATATGATCAGAGGGGAAAGTAAAGTGCTGTAGAAACTCAAACCAATAGATCTCCTTCTAGACCCGTGTAATATGGAAACAGTACCATTGGGTTAAAAAGAACAACACAGTTTTTCATCTTGTGTTCAGTATCAGTCATTCCTTCTTTTATTCTGAAACATCCGACTTTTGCTTAAAAAAAAGGCTGCCATGCAAGTCAGCCCTATTTCTTGGTAGAGATCAAGGGAGATGGTGCTTTTTCAGTCCTTCAGATTCATATTTCATGTTCTTTTCAAGTCTATGAAATTGTACACACTTTTAGAATTAGTTTCCATGAAAGACATTTCTTTCTTTCGTTAAGAGGACCAACCAAGCAAAAACCCCAAACAAAACAAACCTGAAAATCCTAAGCAGTGAAACTGCAAAAGTGGCTGAACTGAAAAGTCAAATTTCCCACCCATTGCAGCAGCCTGGTTACGTGCAGTGAAGGTTGCCATTTCAAACACTGTTGCTTTACAGCTCAAGAGCACCTTTCATTACAAAGTGCTTTTTAAAGATGTACCCTGAGTTTACTGCTGCCTTAGAGATGGTTTGTACTAACCAGTAGCCAGGGAAAAGTACAGCTCTTAGCCTTGATTACTTTGAAACCAGCCTCCCTTTTGTGCTCTCAAATAGCTCTGGGCACAAGCAGTGACATGTTAGATACCTCACTGCCTGGGCTATTGGCAACACAAGCTGCCCTTGGATATCTCACTGCCAGCAATTGATAGCATCCATAAAATAGTTGTTTGCAGGCAATATACTGAGAGTGCAGGCTCATTTTCTGGTTTTGTGAAGTCCTGGGTACCCCTGAGCTCTAACTCCTCTTTTATAGCTCACCATCAGAGACTCCCCAGTGGCAAAGCACCTGCAATTCAGGTTCTTTGAATGAGGACAGAAGTCACGGTTGCCCTGCTGAGATTTGAGCCCAGGGTTCCTGGGGATGTCACCAAGCAGTGACCTCTGGCTACATCACGCAGTAAGCAGAGTTCCACCAGGTATGAGGGTTGTGTCTCTCTCTCCCTGCCCTTATGCTAGGTGCACACAGCATTTGGAAAAATTCAAGGCAGAGCAATCCAGAAGCAAGCAGAATGGGGCTGAGTTTCTCCTCCATGAACTGAGCACCTACCTCTCTGAGCACGATGTGCATGACAGTCCCTGGAGTCTCTGGAGCAAAAGCTGCTGGGCACAGTGAAGTAATAAATAAATTGACGACTGAGGAGTGAACCAACACGCCACTGGGCTCTTTTTCAGTAGTAACAGAACTGGGATTGGAAAACAACTGTCTGGGGAAACGCATTTGACCCCACTCGCTGTCGTGCTTTAACTGTGTACGAGACGTTTTGTAGGGCTGTGCTGGTGCTTGCTAGCAGATGTGGCTTTGATTAGTATCCTCACCACTCCTCTTAATCAATCAAGGATAGCATCAAGCCCCTTTCTCCGTCCTCACCCCCTACACGTCCCACGTCCCCTGGGTGGGAGAGCTGGATTCTCACACTGTCAGCCTGAAACTGCCTGGGTGATGAATCTGTTAAGAATCCTGTCTGACTGTGATCCTTCCAGCCCTTTAATCTTGATGTGAATGACAAGCTGTCACAGCCTGCCTCAGCCATATTGGTGACATCTGACCCTAGAGAGGGAGTTGACAGGAATGGAAAAGCTTCTGAGGTATGGCTTCTGCCTGAGGAAGCAGTGCCAGCTCTGCACCATGCTGTAAGAAATGCCTGGGCACTTTTTTGGCAAGGATTTAAGTGTATTTCATGTACCTTGCTCTTCTTCATTACTGCTTTGGAGCTAACTTAATTTGGAGCTGTAAAGAATAGGTTGCATTTTTAGGATACAGCTGTCT